CTAGCCCGAAACGGAGATATTCAGCGCGCTGGAGATCAACCAGCGGCAAATGCCACCCGAGAAAGTAACTCCTTTTTGTACACAATAAACCCTCCTCCGGGTTGATTCCAAAGTTACGCCCTTCTCATTGTGTTCTCCCTTGGGGATTCCAAAGGGCGTAATTGGACGGTGACACCACTGAAGTCGCCGTTACGACAGGACTACGCAGCCGGGAACGGATTCTTGGCATTCGATGCTTGAAGGTGCAAGAACATGCTTGGCGGAGCCTGGTACCCAAAGTCTGACGATGCATAGTTTTCAATAAAACAACGTGGATGTCTGCTGCCTGTCTGATATCCGAAGTTCCGACTCATCCGCTTGGGGAATAGAGAGCGGGGGAGTCAACTCACCCTTTACCCTGTATCACAACGGCCCACGGGACTTTTCTGGTAGAGAGTGTGGTGAGCGGCCTCGCTTAGCAAGCGAATGGTGCATTGCTTACTTGCACCTACGTGCGACTTTATGAAAATATGTCGTCTCCATACAAGCACCCACATCAGTTGCGGAACAGCACGACATGGAAACTTTTTAGTTGCAGTTGCAAACGGTAGGTGAGAGACTCCTGCCGCGATCTGCAGGCTGGTAGCGGGAACCAGAATGGTCAGACTGCACCTAGCGACTCTTCAAACAGTCGTTTTCTTGGGCGTTGTTTGCTTAGTTCGCGATGCGACAGTTGGGGAGAGCTTGCTTATCAAAACTGACTGTTTGTCACCAACACGTGCCTCCAGCATCGTCACAAACATCTGCTGACGACGGTCATGTAGCCACTAAGACTAGTTGCATGCTAGCTAGTCCAAGGTTCCGCAGCTGTGTTCACGATAGCCTATGCAGATATGTGGTGCATAAACTGGCAACGCCCATGAGTCGGATCCTGTTCTCGTTCCCACCCTGCTTGAAAGTTCATCTCCCATCCGCACCCAAAACGCCAGGTGTCAAACACCTTTATTTCGCAAAACTTCGATGACCCAGCACGCACCACTGGAGCCCTGAGCAGAGAAA